CGCCCCCCCCCCCCCCCCGCGGTGCTGACGGCGCATCTCATTAGAGCCCTGCCGTTGGCCACACCTCCGTGCAGCCCAGGGGCAGGCGCAGTGCATGGGGTCTGTCACACCACGGCCGTGGACCTGCCGTTGGCGACGGTGTCCCTCAGGTCAGGGTTCAGTGGCACTGGTGTCCGGAGCCCTGGTGTCTGCCCGTCCGACCGGAGCTTTCCGAGCTGGATCTTGTCCCGGTGGAGCACGGTGACAGGGACAGAGGAGCACATGTCTGGAGTAGCCAGAGTGCTTGCCCTCTACCTGCCAGTCCTCCCGTTCAGAGGCAGGGGCTGAGGCAGGAGGGCCTGGGGCAGGGGCCGGGGTGACCAAGCCCCCAGCGAGTCTCGAGAATGTCTATGGGCCACAGTGCTGCTGTGGCCCCCAGGTCTGACCCACAGTCATGTTCCGATGTGCCGGCGGGCATGCAACACACGTACAGGTGGCCCCTCTTGGGACCAGAGGCATCTGAGTAACTACAAGGAACTCTCCGTGCAGCTTAGATGAGCGTTTGAGGGCAGATAACCTTGGAGAAGGTTCTTCTATGAACCGTTTTCATCCTGGCCAAGAGAGCTCTGGGAGTGCAGATCAACCCCACCCACCCGGCCAATGCAACTGTTGCGTGTTGAGCAAAGCCATTTTAATAATCAAAACAGATCAAATTACCCAAAGTGAAATTCACAGACAAGAAATACTTTAATTAAATATTGTGTAAAATGAACATTTTTATACAGTTAAATATCTGAAAAAATGTACAGATAAAACAATCTTATTGTAGGGTTTTTAACAGTAAAATCTACCATTTAGTGGAGCGCTCAGTTTTGAGACGATGAAGCCATGAGGGCGACTAATTCATCTAAAACACAAACCAAGTGCAGGGACAAGGAGACTTGCGAATGTCCTTAACGTGTACACGTGAGCTCATTTTTAGGTCAAACCCTTACTTATACAAAATAAAACGGAGGCAACTGAGTTCCAAAGTGACTCCTCAGGCTGGTCACAGGGCCAGAGTGTGACCCGCTAACCCCTGGGGACATTCTGATTCTTTGATTTAGTCCCTTGAATGGACACTTTCTTAAGTCCTGCATTGTTTTGTTTTGGTTTCTGTCAAGAAAATTTTTTAAAGTCCCTCCTTTTTGTTTTAGATTTGATTTCTGCTGCAGTTTGCAAACCATTTGCTGTGCTGTGTCTGCAAAGGGAAAAAAGAAACGACCTTCTTGGTCTCACCGCAGGTTTGGCACTAACAGGTACAGTGTCTGAAGGAGGTCATTATCCAGTTTAAAAAGTACAGACAGTGCTGCTGGGTTCTGACCACAGAAACGTATTGTTAAAAAGGAATTTTAAACGAGGGGTGATTGTGGGTCCCCTGAAACCTCTCTGAATCGGAGGTGGGCTTGGGAGGACACAGCAGAACCAGATGCAGAAAGGAGCGACACAGGGGTCTCCGGGCTTGTGCGTGTGTGTGTTTTACACCGTAAATCTCCAAATGAAATACTGATTAACAACTGTGGGGTAAGCCTGTGATCAAATAGCACAAAGGTTCTTTAAAGAAGTCCACTTTTAAGGCATCAGAGAAGTTAATGTGGCAAACATTTTCATTAAAACATCAGAAGTAAATTTTATTTTCAACTTTAGGCCTCTGAATTTTTCCAGTAAACACAGTTCAGCTATGTGGCAAAGTCATGGGTGGCAGCTAAAATGACTTTTTACATTCTACAAAAAAAATAAAAGGAGGACACAGCCCCAAACGGTGTCGCCTCTTCGTGGCCGCTCCACATGCACGGAATCTACGAGGGTTTGTCACAGCGGGTGGCACCGTTTTGTTGTGACTATACAACGAACTTTTTTTTTCTTCAAAAGTATTTGTTCAGATAACTTAAAAATAATATAAAAATAAACAATGAATTTGACTTTTCCTCAAAAAAAAACAAAAAAGGACGGAAAGTCTAAACAAACAATAGCAAATTTTGGAAGTACAAATGAAATGCAAGGATGTTGGTTCACTGAACGAAACAGATCAAACAGTTCTTGGCTTTAATGCTCTTCCCAGCATCACACCACCAGGCCATGATCAGAAACCAACGCAGACAAGAAAAAGGAACCGAAAATGGTGGGAAAAGCAGTGTACAAAATTTCAAAGATAAATACAATATTTATAATTGATATGTTACAAAACAAAGTCCCTTAGCAACAGCAAGTGTTCATGGAAAAGTAAGTAAGTGTTGAATGGAGACCGTTTTATTCCTTATAAGACGCATAAGGAATAAAACTCGTTTTTTTTCCCTAAATATTTAAGTGGATCTGAAAAAAATTCAAGACAAGTGTATAAATATTTAGCTACGACTTTGGCAAAATCACAAAAGTCTACAATTTTATAACCACATACAAAACACATCAGGGAAAAAGGATCTAGAAGTCAAAAGGACAATTTCTGGTACAAGAAACATGGACCTCACAGTAGCCTAAGAATGCAGTCGTATACAGTGCTAGCAAAGGTTGAAAAGAATGTCGCAGATCACACTTGCTTAACAGGAAGCTCTAGCAGTGGGGGAATATTTTAACCAACAGACAGTAGCATTTTCTTTTTCCTCTGTCAGTGTGCTTGTTGAAGGCAAGAGAATTCAATATCAAAGTTACAATTTCTAACTACAATAAGTTACAAAGCTCCGTTTCATTAAGATGAAGTTAAGCAACGATAAACCCTCCCTCCCCCCCCTGCCACCCCAATTCTCCTACTCATATAGTCTTCCTTTCTTCCAGTTTGATGGCTCAGACCTCCTTGGCCCCCTTTTGTCACCACAAAAAAATATTTCACATTATAGAGATACACAACCATTGTGAATCTAAGTATGAGTACAGGAAAATGTTTGGAGGCGTTTTTCATCAGTGTTTCATGATCATCAAAATGGTGCATTCACAAAGTTTCTCCCAACACATAGCAAGTACTAGACATAGCCAAGACGGAGTCAGAAACTTTATACAAAATAGGCATCGCTTTGTTCTCCTTATTCTTCAGGACTGAGAAATGTGAAAATATGAGAAAAGTTCAGTCAATAAAATGGAATTGTTCACGAAGAAGTACGTCGTTTGTGCGCTGATTCTTAATAGTTTAAATAAAATCTTTAAACAAAGTCTTTTTGTAGCATTTCAACCGCTGCTGACGTACTGAAGACACGGTCTCCATCAGCACCTCTTACGTACTAACGTGTCCCCTGAAGTCCGTCCTTGGATGCTGGGCGCGGCGGGAGGTAACAAGCGCCCCTCACATTGGCGGGACTACCAGCCCAGACATAGCTGAAAGAGAGAGGGGGCAGGTCAGGGGCACCTCTCACCGGGGTGGGGGGGCTGGGGGGGGGGGGCGGTGCGCGCCCCCCCCCCTGCCGATGCAGGGGACACGGGTTCGTGCCCCGGTCCGGGAAGATCCCACA